CCTAATTGAGGCATCGGCAAAGCCATGAATTTGGCAGCTTGCACTCGACTCTGTATTAACATACCGACGAATGCTTATCGACGAGAGCTGCAGTAAATTGGCTTTGAAATTTTGCCAGCTAGTGTCGAGGCGCAACGGAATCGATTCATCCCAATCCAGCTCTTGGATCCAAAGCTCTTGCAATAAGATTTTTGCTTTGGTCACTAGTGGGGCAAGTAAACCAAGAGGATCGAAAAGGCGAGCCGAGACTGATAAGATGTTTCGTTTTGTGGCTCGTAGATCTTTGAAACTGTCATCCAAGACGAATCGAAATAAATCCTGTTTCGGCGACCAATGGATTCCAAGTGTTTTTGTGGAATCTGTGTCATTGAAACTTACTGACTTTTCAGAACCCTCACTCTCGAAAAATGATGGGTGATTTGAAAACCACTTCGCTAGTTTGAATCCGGCCGAGTTTAATATATTCATTACCTCACTTCTAATAAGATCTAGAGATTCAAAATCTTCAGATCCTGTAAGCAGGTCATCTACATAGAAATCTATTTTAATAGCCTTTGAACCGAGTGGATACTTAGTCGTATTAGCATCGCTGAGCATTTGTAAACACCGTGTAGCGAGAAATGGAGCAGGCGCAGTGCCGTATATGACGGTGTTGAGGCGAAAAATTTGAAGTTGCTCAGAGGGATGCTGTCTCCACACTACCAACTGAAAGTTTCTGTCTTCTTCGTGCATGAGAATCTGACGGTACATTTTAGTAATGTCCGCCGTAAGTGCAAATTTATGCAAACGAAAACGAAGAAGTGTCGAATACAGCTCTTCTTGAATAGTTGGCCCAACCATCAAGATTTCATTCAACGCAATTTGAGACGAAGTACGACTTGACGCGTCGAACACAACTCGTAATTTGGTTGTCGTACTTTCAGGCCGAAGGACGCATTGATGCGGAATGAAGTAGTGTGGCTCACTCGGGATCTTATTATTTGTTGGGCTCATATGACCCAATTCTATATATTCATTCACGAAGTCCTGGATCTTTCAAGGTTCTTCTCTCCAGGGCCTGAAACCGCCGAGCTGCGGTTTCATAGGACTGACCGAGTAACTTACGGTCAGCTTTGAATGGCAATCTTACTTGAAGCCTTCCTAACGGCAAAACTTCTGTATTTTTTACGAAAAATTTTTCACACTCTCTTTGTTCAGGTGTTAGTTTTGTGGAACTTGCCTCTGAAGGTAATTCTTCCAAAGCCCAGATTCTTTGGACTATCGAATCTATTGTTGATAATTCTTCTTCAGTTTGGCATAATGTGCTACTGACATTGGGAGGAGGATGCTGGTTGGAGGAGTATTTTCCAGACACAACCCAGCCTAAAAGTGTCTTCTGTAGTGTTGGGTGGTTAGGGCCAGTTTTGATTTGGTCGACAGCTCAGAGCTCGAAAAATGTTTCAGCACCCAACAGAAGATCTACTTTTTGCGAATTGTGGAAATCTGGATACGCCAAATTAATATTTTTTGGTATTTTCCAGCCAATAATGTTTACATTTCGGTCTGGATGGTTAGCTGAAATGGATTGCATTATCCAGAGCTCTGCCGAAAGTTCATAATTATTTAACCGCGATTTTACGAATGTATTTAATTTTGCCCTTACTTTTTTGCTAGCGTTTCCGATACCGATAACGTTCAAGTAGGTGTTTTGCCGACGAATCCGCAACTTTTGCGCCAAATCCTCCGTC